TCTGATAAATGTTTGCAACTGAGTTGTTGTTGTTTTGGGATCCAGTCTGCTAACATAGAGAAAAGCTTTTTTCGGGACTACTTTTAGGCTTCCATTAGCAGCCTTTCCTATGACACAAGGTTTTTTGTACAACTTTGGTTTTGCTTTGTGGGTCACTAAGTTCCATTCATTTTTGGAAACTTTCGTAGTTTGTTTAGTAGTTTTTTCCGATAAATTCTGGATATTGTCCATAATCATTTTGGTTTCGGCATTATTAATAGCATTGGCCACTTGTTGTTTTGATATTTTATTTTGTTTATTTACTTCTATTTGTTTATTTACTTTTTTACCAATTTTTTCGAATTCATTCACCTTTGACGCAGTTGTATTTTTTGCTGTATTCGTTACCGAGGTTTTTGCACCGGTAGACACTTTTTGTGAATTGTCGTCTTGATTTATGATTTTATTTAATAAATCAATTTTACTATTTAAAATATTCACTTTGTCTCTTAGTTCACTGATTATAACGTCTTTTTGTTTAATTATATACAAAAATGTTTTAACATCCATAGATTTGTCCATGTTTTTCACTGCATCCTAAAATGCACTATCACTGTCGTCCGTTTGCGATTCACAACATATTATGCCCGTTTCGACCATTTTAACATTTGTACTTAGATTCGCACAGCTTTGGTGAAAAACATTTTTACACATTACACATTTAGGTCCAGTTATTACTTTAGCTTTATATCTTTTACAGGAGCGAGAGCCAGTGGCACTTGCTTCGTTCGCCATTTTGTTATTATTAGATCATCTCTACTATCCTCAGAGTAAAGTCCACATTCGGGTGCATTTAAAAAATACATAATTAAAATAATATCATATCATAAAATTTATATATATGTTCTCATAAACATTACTTTGTACCTTTTACAAAGTAATGTTTATGAGAACATAATATACATATAAATATTATATATATATATATATATATATATATATTAGGGTGTCCCTTATTTTTTATTTTTTTACGCATACCCTCTAATTATATTTATTACGTGTTTATATACTCGCAGTAAAAATTTCAGCTCATTCTATAAACGGGAACCCGTGCCGACTTGCATCTGAACCCTCCGTGAGCCAACGTTAGGCGCGCGGTATTTTGTAACACGGTTGGCCGCGAGGTCTTCGATCGTAAGTCATTTTGTGTTTGTTATTATGTGACCCTTATATTATAAATTATTGACAAATGTTAAAATATAGTTTTATTTATGTGTATACTTTGATAAAAATGTATATTTTCACAGGGAGTGGCTAGTTACCCGGAAGGGTCTAGTGAATATGCCGTAAACTCTGAAATTGATAAACTTAATGGGATTTACTCTAAATAACTAAAAGAGTCTATTGTGAGAGATGACTACCGAAAACTGTCTGAAATATTTTTGGGAGGACATCAAGAAAAGAAATGCTTATAAAAAGCTGAAATTTCATATAACAGTATATTTTAGCAATACTAATTAGTATATTAATATATTTAAGGGATAAAATCAACTAATTTTTTTTTGGTTATTTTTTAGCTGTCATTCAAATATAATAAAAAAAAGAGTTTCGGGTAATTAGTTTTACGGCCTATTCACCCGACACTTTCGGGTAACTAGCCACTTCCTGTAAAAATATTCATTTTTATTAAAGTATACACATAAATAAAACTATATTTTAACATTTTTTAATAATTTATAATATAAGGGTCACATAATAACAAACACAAAATGACTTACGATCGAAGACCTAGCGGCCAACCGTGTTACAAAATACCGTGCGCCTAACGTTGGCTAATGGAGGGTTCAGATGCAAGTCGGCACGGGTTCCCGTTTATAGAATGAGCTGAAATTTTTACTGGGAGTATATAAATACGTAATAAATATAATTAGAGGGTATGCGTAAAAAAATAAAAAATAAGGGACACCCTAATATATATATATATATATATATATATATATATATATATATATATATATATAATATTTATATATTATGTTCTTATAAACATTACATAAACATTACATTTTGGGATTTTTTAACTTATTTGGCGAGTCGTTTTTAGCACTTTGAACTAAAAAATCCAGAAAAAATCCGAGAAAACGACTAAATTGACGGTTAATTTCACTTTAACCTTGAATAACTTTTAACCAAGTTTACTTACCGAAAAATGACTCTAGACCTTTTTTGTAGAGCGTTCAATTCTCTACAAAAATATTTCAAATTTTTTTAAATGAGTCGGGTAGTTAAAAAACACAAAAATTTCGTATAATTTGAAAAAATCATAAAAAACCTTTTTTGTAGAGCGTTCAATTCTCTACAAAAATATGTCAAGATATATATATATATATATATATATATATATATATATATTAGACTGGTTCAAAAAAATCGAATATTTTTTTTTCTTCAAAGCCCGCATTGAAATATCTTCCTAGCAGTAAAAAAAGAAGCCTGTGAAAATTGTAGCTCTTAATATTAATATTTAGAGGTCGCTCATCGTAAATTTCTATTTTACGTTTAAATAACACAGGAATTCTTTTTTCTTAACTTTGAAATTTTATAACTCGTTTTTGAGTGAACATATTGGAATGAACTCTATATATTTTTGAAGAAAATTGAACGTTCTACAAAAAATGTCTCCTATAATTTTTTCGTAAATTCACTCCTATAATAGTTATTCAAGGTTGAAATTAGACATATAATAAATGTAACGTTTAAACAAAGGAATTTTTTTTTTAACTTTTTATTTTATAACTTTTAATAGGTGATAAAGCATCAAAAATAAGGTAGACTTTCATAAAAAAACATTTCTTAAAAATGTTTCCTAAGAGAAATACAGGCCGTCAAAGTTTACAAAAAAAAATAGTTTTCTCTTCATAACTTTTAAACCACAAAATTAATTTGGCACACAATGTAATATAGTCAGTGCCTTAATAATGATGTAGATAATTATTTAAAAAAAAACATCAGTGCCGCAGTTACTTGGGGGGCTGCTCCCCTTTTCACCTCAGTCTTTGACGCCACTGGAAATTTTAAATTAATAAATAAATAAAATTTTGATTTGGGGCTTCGTTTCTAAAATATTTGCTCAAAAATGTTTCCTCGCAGAGACGCTTTCTACAAAAAAAACTCATTTCCCCATCATAACTTCTAAACCACTTAATCAATTTTTATCAAATATTGTACACAATATAGTCAATGTCTTAGTAATTATGTGGATAATTATTTTAAAAAAACATCAGTTGCGCAGTTACTTGGGGGGCTGCTCCTCTTTTCACCTTAGGCGCCACTGGAATTTTTTAAAATAATAAACACATTTTTAGATTATCTGTTTAATTTAGAGAAAAAAACTACTCATGTAAAATTTTGATTTAGTGCTTCATTTTTTAAATAATTAATTTATTTATCCAAAAATACTTTTGCCGCAGTTTTTTTGGAGTGTGCCCAAATATTTCAAAAACGAAGCCCTAAATTAAAATTTTAAATCTAAAAATGTAATTTTGCGAGGAAACATTTTTGAGCAAATATTTTAGAAACGAAGCCCCAAATCAAAATTTTATTTATTTATTAATTTAAAATTTCCAGTGGCGTCAAAGACTGAGGTGAAAAGGGGAGCAGCCCCCCAAGTAACTGCGGCACTGATGTTTTTTTTTAAATAATTATTTACAGCATTATTAAGGCACTGACTATATTACATTGTGTGCCAAATTAATTTTGTGGTTTAAAAGTTATGAAGAGAAAACTATTTTTTTTGTAAACTTTGACGGCCTGTATTTCTCTTAGGAAACATTTTTAAGAAATGTTTTTTCATGAAAGTCTACCTTATTTTTGATGCTTTATCACCTATTAAAAGTTATAAAATAAAAAGTTAAAAAAAAAATTCCTTTGTTTAAACGTTACATTTATTATATGTCTAATTTCAACCTTGAATAACTATTAAAGGAGTGAATTTACGAAAAAATTATAGGAGACATTTTTTGTAGAACGTTCAATTTTCTTCAAAAATATATAGAGTTTATTCCAATATGTTCACTCAAAAACGAGTTATAAAATTTCAAAGTTAAGAAAAAAGAATTCCTGTGTTATTTAAACGTAAAATAGAAATTCACGATGAGCGACCTCTAAATATTAATATTAAGAGCTACAATTTTCACAGGCTTCTTTTTTTACTGCTAGGAAGATATTTCAATGCGGGCTTTGAAGAAAAAAAAATATTCGATTTTTTTGAACCAGTCTAATATATATATATATATAGCGAATTGCTGTGGTCATTTTTACTACAACACATGTTAGGCTTACTGTTGCGCATTAATTTATAAAAAAACACATTTAAGTGTATATCTCCACAACGGCTACATACGCGATTTTAATTTTTCTTGCAAAGTAAAGCTAATAATAACACTATTTAAAAAAAATATTTGGAAGATTATACATTTTTTAAGTTGAAAACGTCAAATGTACCAACGTGTCGTCCTTGGTAGTAAGCAAACTAAATTCTAGTCGACCTTCACTTAAGTTAAGTGACTTAACGATGCATGCGGCTTTAAGTTGTCAACGTAGAAAGTGGGGGTGCTGATGATGACTCGTTTCTAACTATCTCACTCTAACGGTCTCACTCTATCTTCGACTCGAAATCTCATTAAAAATCGACTATGGCGCCTCCTAGTAATCATTTTTGATTCAAGAGTTATTTTAAATTCATTAGACAACGCCTCTTGCCCACTTCTTCACTCAACGGTGTTATAATGACCTGTTCCCAGGGTAGAAATACAATATATAAGATAATATTTTTTATTGAAGGAACTATTTTTCGGCAGTTTAATAGTATGATAATCTAAGCAATATTTACATTATATGTTTTTACATTTTTTGGTAATTTAAAATTAATATAGGTATATATATATATATATATATATATATATATATATATATATACATATATATATACAAAAATACTTTTTTATTAAAATTTATTCATACTTTATTTTAGGCTTTTAATTACAGGTCAAGCGCAAATTTAGACCGGTCAAATTTGTTTACTTTAAGATAATATATTTATATAATTAAAATAAATTAGTTGCAAATTTAGATAATTAAATAAAAAAGATATTTTTTATTGTAATGTATTTTTTGTAAAAAGTGATATGGATTCATTACCTACTATCTGTAAATTTTGAAGTATTTAACAAAAATTAATTGTAATTGGAAAAATTTGTTTGTTTCAGTGTTTGGCTGAAATAATACAATAATTTATTGATTTAACTATCACTTTGACCACAAATGACCTTATATTATACTATTCTAATTTTAGTATTTATTTGAACTTATAAATGTACAACCAAAAATATTTTTTTTATAGAATAAAAATTAAATTTTAATAACATGTAAGTATACCCTAATTACCTTGATGTATTCGTGTTTCCGTAAAAAAGGTACCCTTAGTTCAAGTTATCCTAAAGTTTGCATTTTAATTTATTTTAATAAAATTTAATCCAAAATATTTTACTGATTTAATATATTTTATTGTATTTGCAAATAAAGTATTGGATATTCTATAAAATATAACAACACAAAATTATGCTACTGCAAGCGTGCTTCTCATTTTATGCTTACGCTATTTAAATTGTTTTTAAATCACTAGTATCTATTTACTAAATCACAATCACGTATTCCTGGATAAATAAAAGGACTGCACCGAAGAATTAACTGAAAAAAAAATTATATAGGATTATCCCAAGGCTAATATTTGTATAAATTAAAGACTAATCTGCATTAAAGCCTTATATACCTTAATGGATTTATATAAAGTGACGCTAAATTCATAAATTAAATATGGGTTTGTGGTAAGTTAGCTCCAATACTATTAAGGTGTATTAGGCAATAATTATAATACAAATTTCACAGGAAAATAAAAAATAATAAAATAAGCATAGATTTGGCTTCTGCAAAAAATATGGTTAGGATTTTAGAAATTTTTATTGTATTTTCCTACAAAATTTGTTTTTGCAATGAAAGATTTTATGACTTATTATTAAAATAAAAAATATCCCCACACCAATTGTTAATCAGAAATCCAGAAAATAAAAATACATAATTTACCAAATGGTAAAACTATTTACTGCTTTTAAGCAGTCAAGTTTAGAATATTATTTTCCACGATTATCTTAAATTTTATTTGTACTAAAACTGAGGCTTAAAACCACAAGAAAAAAGTTTTTTTTCTGACAAGAAGCTTTTAAAATAAAAGATTTTTAAAATTGAATTTTAGTATTTATTTTAATATTTTCGCTTACGATAAAACTTAAAATAAAAGCAGAAGTTATAAAAACCTTATAACTCTATATCACAACCTTAAAAAGTAAATACATTTGAGGCACTTCGTACAAAACCATAGTCTAAAAATATTATTTTTAATTCAAACAATCACATAATAAAAAATTATAAAGATGTGCTAATGATTTGTCATACAAATTTCTATTTTGTTGAATCGTATAACAAAAACTACGACATAAGGAATATTGTTTCTAGTAATTTGCGACTAGGCAATGAATGAACTGATCAGTGACTGGTTGTATTTTTGAATAAGATTAATTTCCCGTTCGGCAGTATCATTAACAACGCTCATCTTACAACTCTCCCCAAGAAATTATATATATATTTTCGTTAATAATAATAACATTAAAGGAGAAGCTGATTCTTTGAATGATTAAATTGTCTATTCCCTATAGCGAATTCACCGAACGGTCAATTTACGTAAATTTTGCGTTGATTTAGCGTTGATTTCATAAATTTTAACGCAAGTTGCCATTTTTTGAGTTAAAATCAGTGGCGTAGCTAGCCTCGAGGGGGCCCCGTATCGAAAATCTGGTAGGGGCCCTTATACGGGAAAAGCTGCTGACAAAAAAATTTCTGGGTGTCACGCCCAAAGTCTATTTTGGGAAAACAAAAAAATTTTTTAGGTTATCATTTAATAAATAATATATGTATACTAGGGTGGTCCACCTTTTGAGAATTTTTTAATTTTCTTGCTATCAGGGGCTCATAGTATTCAAAATAAAAAAAAAATATTTTCCAAGTTTTAAGTCCCTTAATATTAACCCGTGCCGCGTTGCAGTGTAAGTTTCCTATAAAAAATAACAGGGTTTTCGGCATTGAATAATGAATTATTTATTCCGGCCAAAGTAACTGTCTAAAAAATTTTAAACTTTTCAGAATTTAACCTTATAATAGTAGCTATTATTGAGAATTTTTACAGACTTTTAGTTATTATAATTTTACAGTTTCAGATAGATGATTTATTTAAATTTAAGAAAATCATAAATCATTAACATAATTATTACAATATCTGAAAATCTGTACAAAATTCTATGAAAAGCTACTATTATTAGGTTAAATTCTGTCAAGTTTAATTTTTTTTTAACACTTACCTGTGACCTGTTTAAAAAAATAATTACCTATTCAAAACCCACGGTATCCAGATAGGAAACTAACATTGCATTGCGGCATGGGTTGACATTAAGATAGGAATTTTTTATTTATTTCGAACCCTTTAAGCCCCTGGGAGTATAAAACTTCAATTTTTTTTAAATAAGGACCTTTTTTGAATTCGGAAATTTTAATCTTCCACCCATATTTTAAGATGGTAACGTTTAGGTATACGAATATTTAATACTATTATGATTTTTCATGATGGAAAAAATTTGGCAATATAATCTCGCAGCGTACAAAAAAATTTGAAACTTGTCAAGTTTCAAATTTTTTTCTACGCTACGAGATTATATTCTTATATATCTTAATGTCAACCCATGCCGCAATGCAATGTTAGTTTCCTGTCTGGATAACGTGGTTTTTGAATAGGTAATTAATTTTTCAATCAGGTGACAGTAAGTATTAAAAAAAATAAAATAAGTTATAATAGTAGCTTTTAAATGATTTTCTTATATTTAAAAAAATCATCTAGCTAAACCTCTAAAATAATTATAGCTAAAAATCTGTAAAAATTCTTAGGAATAGCTACTATTACAAAGTTTAAAATTTTTTGAAAAGTTACTTTGGCCGAAATAAATAATTAATTATTCAATGCCGAAAACCCTGTTATTTATATAGGAAACTTACACTGCAACGTGGCAAGGGTTAATATTGGGACTTGAAACTTGGAAAATATTTTTTTTAATTTATTTTAAACACTATGAGCAACTGAGAGCAAGACAATTCAAAAATACTCAAAAGATGGACCACCTTAATGTATATCCTTTTATGTACAGAAAAATTTTAAAATTTGGTCTGGTTTTAGACATTTACCGTTCTACAACATCTTTTAAAAGGTTTATATTTTAAAATAAAGGCTTCATAATTTCTAATTTGCTATTAATATAACCTATGATAATAACACGCAAAGCAGACTCAGTATAAGGCGCAGAGCATGCACAGAACAATATGCGCAGACTGTGCCGTAGACAACGAATAGCGGAAAGGTGCGGGCAGAAACAATTCGTAGTTCGGAGTTCACGGCCTTGTTGGTTTAATTTAATAAATCGAACTATAAACAATTAAATAATAATATTATTTATTTATTTAATTTTTTTAACATGTGGGTAATATGTTTTTTCTTAGGCATGTCGAAGCCAATCGGGGGCCCCCCCTAGCCGGGGGCCCCGTATCATTGATACGGCTGATACGGCGGTAGCTACGCCCCTGGTTAAAATATTGGATTTTAACGTACAGTTGGCGCAAAAAAATTGCGTTAAGTTGAGCCAAAACGTAACTCAAATTTGACTAAAATTTAACGTAAGTTTTGCGATAACAACCAAAAAATTAACTATAAATAGACTTAAAATTGATTCATTAGGTAACCGATTTTGCTCTAAAAATTTTTGTATAAAATATTTGCGTTAAATTTGCATTGATTTTGCGTTTATTTTGAGTCAATTTTGACTTTTTGGTTAGGTTACCGATTTTGTTCAAATATTTTTTGTATAAAATATTTACGTTGAATTTGCGTTGATTTTGCGTTCATTTTAAGTCAATTTTGACTATTTGGTTTTCCGATTTTACTTTAATATTTTTTGTAATATTTGCGTTGAATTTGCGTTGATTTTGCGTTCATTTTGAGTCAATTTTGACTTTAATTAAGTTATCGTTTTACGCGAACATTTTTTGAATAAAACATTTGCGTTAAATTTGCATTGATTTTGAGTTTATTTTGAGTCAATTTTGACTTTTTATTAGGTTTAATTTTAATTTTTTTATTTCTTTTTATAAAAAATTTCTTAAATTTGCGTTTACTTTGCATTAAATTTGTGTTTCTTTGAGTCAATTTTGAACAACCAAAAAATTAACTATAAACTTAAAATTGATTGATTAGGTAAACGATTTTACTCTAAAAAAAATTGTATAAAATATTTGCGTTGAATTTGCGTTGATTTTGCGTTTATTTTGAGTCAATTTTGACTTTTTGGTTAGGTTACGACTTTACTTAAACATTTTTTGTATAAAATATTTACGTTGAATTTGCGTTGATTTTGCGTTCATTTTGAGTAGATTTTGACTTTTTAATTAAGTTATCGATTTTACGCTAACATTTTTTTAATAAAATATTTGCGTTAAGTTTGCGTTGATTTTGCGATAATTTTGAGTAAATTTTGATTTTTTCTTAAAAGTCCCTAAAAATTACTTTATTTGATTTTTTTAACTTAATTTTATTTGGACATTAAAAAAAATAGTATGTCCAATATTTGCGTAAGTTTTGCGATAACTGTTTAGCTTTACAATCGTCAATTTTCAAATTGCGCGCTCAACAGCAGAGACAAAGGAGAGTCTCTGCTCAACAGCGCCAAGCGGCGAAACAGAGACACAAGAATTTGAAAGGTAATCTACCGGTAAAATATAAACAAATAAACCTATTTAAAAAATTGACTCATAAGAGTTGATTTAAATACATTGCAATTGAGTTTAATAACAATTGTTGATTCGTTGCTCGCTCAAACAAAATATTTTTAAAACAAATTACACATATTTTAGTTAAAAACTTCTCAAATTATCCACAAAAAAAGAAAAAATTCAACCACTTAAAAACGCAATTCTTTAAAATCACAATTAAACAGATTCGATCAATTTGTAGACACATTTGAGACAAATAAATCATTTATAGAATTGGAAACTGGATTACAAATAATTGATGAGACTTATTTGAAATTTATAGACATTAACAAGTTAGTCACCTTAATACCATCTTCTGAACTACTTAGATGATAACTCAACCGAACTGTCAGAATTTGAAAATTCTTATTTTCGAATTATTTCAGCAGCAAAGGTGTTAATTAAACAAAATCAAAACACAATCGTAAGCAATACAAATCCATCAATTCAGTCTAATCAAGATTTTAATATTTCAAGCATAACAGATATAACACCTTAAGTTAAACTACCCACTCTAAATTTACCAGAATTTAAGGGTGAATATGACCAATACTACAATCCATAAACATTTCTGATGACAACTATGCAGTGGCGTGGAACCTTTTAAAGGAGCGTTTTGAAAACAATTTACCCACAATAAAACAAGAAAATCATACAGCTTTAAGAAATTTGGTTGACAATTTTCTAAAACATTATCGATCTTTAAAATCTTTGGGACAGCCAGTTGAAACTTGGAATACACTTTTAATATTTATAATATCAAGAAAATTAGACAACAAAACCAAACT